AGCACCAGCAATAACTTAAACGGATAGTATGATTGATTGATTTGTTTGTTTAACGGCATATCAACAGCTTATGGGTCATTTAATGCCGAGATTAAAATTTTCTTGGGAACTTTGAAGTAATAAAAACATGATATTATTCTGCTTCCACAATTGAATACATGGTAGATGATACTCAGCTTTTGTGCATATATACATGTTTGCGTGGACATGATTATTAGAGGCGGTGATGTGTGTGTATTATGTTGTAGTTTTATTGAAATTATAGTTTGGAATTCGGTTTGGTTTAAGATATTGTAGGATATAAGGATTAATATGATGAAAAACTTCTTCCATGTTGGTAATTCTACTATAAATATACTATATAAATTATACGATAGAAATATGTTATAAATATACTATAACTATACTATAAATATACTATATAAATTATATCATATAAATATACGATAAATATACTATATAAATTATACGATATAAATATACTATAACTATACTATATAAATTATATTATATAAATATACTATATAAATTATACTATATAAATATACTATATGCTATAAATATACTATATAAATTATACGATATAAATATACTATATAAATTATACGCTATAAATATATTATAAATATACTATATAAATCATACTATATAAATATACTATACATATACCATAAATATACTATATAAGTTATACTACATAAATATACTATAAATATATTATATAAATTATAATGATATAAATGTATTATAAATATACTATAACTATACTATAAATATACTATATAAATTATATCATATAAATATACTATAAATATACTATATAAATTATAATGATATGAATATACTATAAGTATACGATATAAATTATTATATAAATATATAAATATACTATATAAATTATACTATATAAATAATTATAAATATATAAATATACGATATAAATATACTATAAATAAATATTAATTATATGATATAAATATATATAAATTAAAAATAAAATGCTAATACTATATAAATTATACTATATAAATATATTATAAATATACTATATAAATCATACTATATAAATATACTATAATACCATAAATATACTATATAAGTTATACTACATAAATAAGTTATAAATATATAAATATATTATATAAAATAATGATATAAATGTATTATAAATATACTATACTATAAATATATATATAATTATATATATAAATATACTATAAATATACTATATAAATTATACGATATGAATATATATGCTATATAAATTATATTATAAAAATACTATAAATATACTATATAAATTATACTATATAAATATACTATAAATATACTAGATTAAACGATATAAATATATAAATTAAACGATATAAATTATACTATATAAATATAAATTAAACGATATAAATATATAAATATACTATATAAATTATACTATATAAATATATTATAAATATACTATATAAATCATACTATATAAATTATATAAATATATATAAAGTTATACTATAAATATATTATATAAATTATATTAAATATAAAAATATAACTATAAATATACTATAAATATACTATATAAATATTATACTATATAAATATACGATATAAATATGCTATAAATATACTATATAAAAATATATAAATATACTATAAATATAATAAATATACTATATAAGTTATACTATATAAATATACTATAGTATGCTATAAATATCTATATAAATTATAAATATATAAATATACTATATCAATACTATATAATTATACTATATAAATTATAATATAAATATGCTATATAAATTATACTATATAAATATGCTATAAATATACTATATAAATCATACTATATAAATATACTATACATATACCATAAATATACTATATAAATTAAGCTATATAAATATACTATAAATATACTATATAAATTATAATATATAAATATACTATAAATATACTATTAATAAGTATTATTGGTAATTATTTTATATAAAAGTGTATTGCATGTAGCATTATTAAAAAATATCTTTATACTTTCATAATGTTTTGTTTTTGTTTGGGGGTTCACTATTTGCCGATAGAACCCAACAGATGCTACCACCCCAGGTCCTGGGAACAATCGCAATTAAAAGGTGGTTTCACGCTCCTCAAAACCTCCAATCATTCTGATCAGAGGTTTTGCTGCCGGATATAGTATATCGTCATACCCAGGACTGTAAATGGTTAGTATATGTAACTCGAAGGGAGAATATTAGCATAATCAAGATGCTGACTTTCTACATTACTGTTGTGGTAGGATCCACCTAATTTGCATAGTGGAGTACCGACCATGTAAATATGGTTGGTACCGGGAAGAGAGGGGGGAATCAAGAGATTCACTCTCAGTCGAACTCTCTGCATTTTGCTGTGAGGGACCCGGACGAGGCTTTGCCGAGAGGCAGGGTTTCGTCCGGGGTGGTAGACAGGCCTTGAAGTCGTCTAGGCGGGTTCGGAAAGGCCATATTTTTGGCCGAGCCTACGGGCTCGGAGATACCCACTTTAAACCGGCCTTGTGCCACATTTTATCCTCGTGGGTGGATAGATAAATACAGGAATCAAGAGATTCAACCAGAGACTGTGCCCGACTGCGACTCAGTCAACACATTCCCCAGGAACGGTCTTACCAGGAATATACAAAAGACTATATGTAAATATTGTGTACACTTTCTTGTTTCAATACATTTTGTTCTAAGTACATTTTGTGTTGCATTATTATTCCATGCATTAGTCAAGTTTCAACAATTACCTAAAACAAAAGGGAGGAAAGGAAGCCCCCGTCAATACTGGAAAGAGCGATAACAGCTACCGGAATTGAGAAACTCCTCTCAGAGTTTCGCAAATCCTGAAATCCATCTATCAGAAAACAGAAGTATTTATTTTATCTTTTTTAATATATTATGTTATTCTAATATAAAAAGAAAAAAACTTAAAAACATAAAAAAGCCCTAAACTATATTTAAATTTGATTATCTTTTTAGGACGTGAGTGATAATGGCTATCCACAACTTCCTGTCATTTGTAAATCGAAGCAATATTTATCCTCTAATTATTCCTCCCAGTTGCTGTTTTACCATCCATTTACACAAACTCGTAAGGTCAGTAACTACTTTGTTTCCTCAGGCTCGCTTACTTTGAATGTCTTGTGAGAGTTAAATTCTCCAAGTCATCTTTCTTCGTGTCTCAGAGATTTCATCTGCTTCCTTCTTATTCGACGTACAAATGTTCTTTTTGTTTCCATCTTTTTATAAAAAGTTATTCGTTGGACACATGTTCCGCCTATAGAACTCTCAGCATCCTTCTGTAGAACCACATCTTTGTTGCCGTCATTTTCCTCTTTAACTGTGAAGAAACTGTTCAGCTTTCACTGACGTATAGGACTGATATTAGAAAACAGTTCAGTTCTTTCCTTTCTTTGTTTCTAATTGATTGCTATTATATTTGTTCATCAAAAAGGCCTTTTGGTTCTTTTGCATTTTAACGTCAGCAATATCTATCTATCTATCTATCTATCTATCTATCTATCTATCTCATCTATTTTCCCAATCTATCTCTCTCTATCTATCTATCTATCTATTTATCTCCCTATCTATCTATCTATCTCTCTCTTGTTTCTCTAATCTATCTATCTATCTATCTATCTATCTCAGCTTGTTTTCCTAATCTATCTATCTATCTATCTATCTATCTATCTATCTATCTATCTATCTATCTATCTCAGTCTGTTTTCCCAATCTATCTCTCTTTCTCTCTCTCTCTCTCTCTCTCTCTATCTATCTATCTATCTATCTATCTCAGCTAGTTTTGCTAATCTATCTATCTATCTATCTATCTATCTATCTATCTATCTATCTATCTATCTATCTATCTAGCTTTGTTTTTAATATTGCTGTCACATCTTGTTTTGGTGCTCCTGTGCTACATTTAGAGATTCTTGATAAAATCCAAAGAAGAATCTGCAATGTTATTAGTCCTGATCTGGCATCTCGGCTTCAGTCACTTTCCCACCGATTCCCTGTGCCTTTTCTATAAATGCTTTCATTGTAATTGTTTTGGTGAACTTTCCGCTATGGTACCTACACTTTACGATTTTAAGTGTTGTAAGAGATTAGTAGCAAGATCTTACTATTTTATTTTACAGCTGAAATGGCTAGATGTAACCGTAATTTCTATGCTAACAGTTTCTTTTCTCGCATTTCTCACCTGTGGAACTCTCTACCGGCTTCTTGACTTTCAGCTTACTTAGACCTTCAAAAATGTAAATACAATGTCAATCGTTATAGTTTGCCTTTTAATTCCAGTTTTTTTTATGGTTCTCTCTCTTTAAAGATGTCTTCTTTTTCTCGTATTTTTCTACGCTCAGTAACCTCTTGCGTCTTAGTAGCTTTATTGCATTAATTGGAGTGAATTGCATCTGTTGATGCTTACGATAAAAGCAGCTATGATAGATCAGATGTTCAAATAGATAGATATATCTATTTCCGTTTATGGGGAGTGTTTTAACAGAAGATGGAAAATGCGGCAGCGAAATCCGAACACGTATTGAATTAGCGAAAAATGCATTCCAAAAGCTAAGCAAAGTATTAAGAAACAAGAATTTCTTTAGAAACAAAGAAAAGTTTGCTGGGTTGCTATGTGATATCCATCTTCTAATATAGCAGTGAATGCTGGAAGATTTCCCCAAGGAGGTAAAGAGAACTGGAGACAACTGTTGTTCTACAGAAGGATACTGAGAATTCCATAGACGGAGCGAGTAATCAACGAGGAAGTCCTAAAGAAAATGTTGAAGTTGAACGCATAATGAGGAAGGGGGGGCTTGGAAAACTTAACCCACACGGTGGCAAGAGAGCAAGGGGAAGGCAGCCAGCGACTTACCTGACGAATAGATGGCAGGACGTGGGGTGGGTGGCTAGACAAAGGGAGAAACACTGCTAAGGGACACTAACGATAGGAAGTTGGTCGTCTATACCATGAGTGGAATAGGCACATCGAAGAAAAAATATCTATCTATCTATCTATCTATCTATCTATCTATCTATCTATCTATCTATCTATCTATCTCATACATGTATTTGTGCACGATACAGTTTTGTTTCTCTCTTATATTTCCTCGCAGAAAATTCATGATTGTCATGGAAATTTATTTCTCTCTTTGGCAGTTGTGAAATTGACACATGTATAGATTTTAGCGATATAAGCACAGAATATAATTATTAGAGATTGCTAATAAATCAAGTCGACGTTCCTATCTTCAACATTTGGACTTAATGATTTTTTTGTCTTTTTTAGTTTCTTTCTTAAGCTCTTTTATGAATATGAAGGAGAAAATAAGTCTTACAGAATGGTTGGTTCTTCACATCCTGTAACAAGTGAAAAATTTCGATCAAAACCCCATCATAATCCGATAAGTGCAATTGGCCCATTTCAGGTTGTAGTTAGGACACCAATGCACAGCATCATTACTTCCGAAAACTTGCCCGCATAACAATCTGTTCCCATATCAACAGGGGAGGTAAATCGGTTAATAATCATCTTAGAACGTTAGACACAGTTTGTACAGTAGCTTCCCATTACTCTTTCTATGAATATGTTCATGGTAATTGTTCTGATGAACTTTTCTTTATCGTACACAGACTTTATAAATTTATGCGCAGTACTAGATTAGCAACAAGGTATTCTTTGGAAAGCTGAATGTTTGAAAATGTGTAAAGGTTTTGAGGAGCGAGGCCGTATAAAAAAGGATGCTTGTTTTTGCATAATGACATACATTTTTCTCGCCAAAATCTATCTTACATATAAGTCTAGCAACGGGCTTTGTTTTTAATATTACTGTCACATCTTGTTTTGGTGCTCCTGTGCTACATTTAGAGATTCTTGATAAAATCCAAAGAAGAATCTTCAATGTTATTAGTCCTGATCTGGCATCTCGGCTTCAGTCACTTTCCCACCGATCCCTGTGCCTTTTCTATAAATGCTTTCATTGTAATTGTTCTGGTGAACTTTCCGCTATGGTACCTACACTTTACGATTTTAAGTGTTGTAAGAGATTAGTAGCAAGATCTTACTATTTTATTTTACAGTTGAAATGGTTAGATGTAACCGTAAGTTCTATGCTAACAGTTTCTTTTCTCGCATTTATCACCTGTGGAACTCTCTACCGGCTTCTTGACTTTCAGCTTACTTAGATCTTCAAAAATGTAAATACAATGTCAATCGTTATATTTTGCCTTTTAATTCCAGTTTTTTTATGGTTCTCTCTCTTTAAAGATGTCTTCTTTTTCTCGTATTTTTCTACGCTCAGTAACCCCTTGCGTCTTAGTAGCTTTATTGCATTAATTGGAGTGAATTTCATTTGTTGATGCTTAAGATAAAAGCAGCTATGATAGATCAGATGTTTAAATAACGCACCAAATCCTCACAGGGATGATAACGTTTTTTTTCGGTTGGTTTTTATAATAATGGGTGAATTGACCACGGAGGATTATGTTAATTCTCTTTATGGTGGGTGTATCTAAAGTAATTCTCTGACCCAGAGCGTGTTAAAATTCTAAACAGAAAACGGACAGTGGGTCATCAAAGGAAACAAACAGCAAGTCATAAGAGGAAAGTGGAAAAGTGACACTTACAATTATGTTTCAACGCTATAAATGTGTTTATTCAAGCGATGTATTGAGAATGTTTATTCGCCCGAAGAAATACATTTATGGTGTCGAAACTTAATTGTAATTGTGTAGCGATTTTTAATATGTTTTAATATCCTAAAATAAATAATATTTAGCTCTACTCTGTATTGAGCCTTCTTAAATGTTACGTACAGTAGAATCATACTTCATTTTTTATATATATATATATTATATATATATATATATATATATATATATATATATATTATATCCTTACTCTGTCCTAGACATTGAGTTCTAACTGGATCCTTCCTCTTGAAAAAAATTTTTTCTGAAAATATACATGTATGGGAATTTTTTAGATATATTTTTCATATGTATGTATATTTTCCACTAATATTATCAATCTATATATATATATATTAAAGCAAATCATCCCAAGCAAGGCGGAAGTGTTACTAGCACTCTAGGGGTTACAGAGGATTGAGAACAAGACTAAAGAGGCGTGTTTAAGGAAAGGCTACAGGGAAGGACGGGGAACAAGTTCAGAGCGTTAGATGGCGATTGACATTACACTTGAATATTTGAAGTCATCGGGGAAGCAAGTAAGGAGAAGGGAGTTCCACGGATGGGAAGTGCGGGAGAAGAAGCTGTTTGGGTAGAAGAGACGGTTACATTTAACCGTTTCGACACTGAAAGGGTGGGACCGAGATGCCAGCCTGGTAGCTCGTTTAAATTCATGCAGTCCAGAAACCAGCGAAAGTTGCTCGTCGGAACAGTTGTCATGAAAATACTTGCAGAAGAGACAGAGGGAGGCCACGGCACGTCTGTGGGATAGCGATTGTAGACTAGATGCCAGATCAGGACCAATCACATTGCATATCCGTCTCTGGATTTTGTCGAGGACCTCGAGACGTACAGCTGGGGCTCCCAACCATATATGGCAGCAATATTCCATGCAAGGTCGAATGGTTGATTTATAGATTTGAAGGATGGACTCAGACGAGAAAAACCTTCTGGCACGACACAGAGAACCAGCTTTCCTTGCGATAGATGAAGCTATTGATTCAATGTATTTATTCCACCTCATGTCAGCGGACAGCGTAAGACCAAGCAGGCGTAACGAGGCGCTCTCAAGGAGATGGGAGGCAGGGAGGGTTCTCTGTGGTGGGTAAAGGTGAGCAGTTTCGTTTTAGAAGCATTAAAGTTTATAACCCATTTCTTGCCCTAGTCAACCACAGATTGGAGGACCTTGTCGAGCAACGACGAGCGAGAAAATAAAAACAAAAAGGACACTTATACAGGAAGAGACAGTTGAAATTTCTGGGGCACATAATGAGGAAAGAGGGCTTGGAAAATCTGATACTCACAGGACAGATTGACGGCAAGAGGGACAGAGGAAAACAATGTATAACCTACTTAGTGAACTTGAGTAAATGGATGGTGGAACAAGGTTTAGGAGGGATAACAAAAAGACAAAATTTATTAAGAGCTACAAAGGACAGGAAATCTTGGAGAGCCATCATCGCCAACGTCCTGAAGAGACACGACACAAAGAAGAAGAAGAAAATTCTACAGCGAATGTGGGACCAGGTGTTGAATCAGAGAAACGAACTGAATACCACATGTCGACCTAAGAATAAGTATTTACTTAAAAACATACATATGGCTTGGTAGATACCTTACAACTCGCGATTATATAAGTCAGATTATAGCAATTGGTTCCAGACTATATCCGGCTAATGATTTTGATATTCCATCAGTAATATCATATGTTCTACAGAAGGATGCTAAGGATATTATGGACCGAGCATGTGAACAACGATGAGATCTTAGAGAGGTTACAAACAGGGAGAAGTCTTATACTTAACATCAGAAAGAGGCAGCTGAAGTTTCTGGGACACATAATGAGGAAGGGGGGGCCTGGAGAATCTGATACTCACGGGTCAAATAGAGGGAAAGTGAGACAGGGAAAAACAACGCGTGACATACCTGACGAGCTTGAGCAGGTGGATGACAGAACGTGTTCTGTGGAAAGAAGCAGAGGGAAGGGACTTGCTGAGAGCTGCAAGGGATAGAGGGAGGTGGAGTGCCATGATTTGTCCTGAAAGGACATGGCACATAAAAAAAAGAAAAGAATATATATATATATATATATATATATATATATATATATATATATATATATATATATAATTTTTATATATTATATATCATATATATAATTTAGCTCTTGAAAATATATTTCAGTTGAGCACTCTTGAGTGATAAGCTAATTCTATAAACAACAGCCCCCTTCCCTAATGCAAAGCTCTTCAGGAAAATGAATAGAGCACTTTGGTTGTTTGGCATTTGTTTACATTCGTAAAAAATCAATACGCTAGATTTTAGCTGTGTAACTCTACCGAGTGAAGATAGCTCAGTGGTAGAAGCTCTGACTGATAGCAAATTAGTTGCGTTTTGATCCTGGCTTGAGGCATTCGGATGTCTAGTCGCACTGAGGAGCTGTGATACAGCGAAACAGTACAGGAAGTTGTGGAGAGTTATGATCGCCTATGTCTTGAAGAGTCATGTCACATAGAAGAATTCATCACAACAATCATTGGTGAGAAATCAGTTTTCATGTACTACTTCGCCCAGTTTACGTTTTCCTCTTGATGATATTCATCTGAAGGTGTAAGTTTGCCTTATGTCCTGAGCTAATGTTCTTTCTCACAGGTTTACATTTCCAACACCAGCTTCTTAAAATATTTTATTGCTGATCAACCGAATTTTCTTGCTTTTAGTTTGTTTCATATCGCTGTCTGTACCATATGTAAAGTCATTTTTTTCTTGTTCATGCTGTTTTTAATTTCTTTTTCTATTATTCTCTGATGTCTGTTCAACGTTTGCTCAACTTCCAGCGTTGTGTCCCCATCACCCAATATCTTTATAATAACTTTTTTCTTTCTTTCTTACGGCCTGTTGCAATAAATCTGAAGCTAAACAAAACAGCTATCAGGAAGTATACAATTATTTATAATATGACAAGCAAAGCGCTTGTTAAAATTTTCTAGATCTTACTTTACAGGGTAAGTTTTGTTTGAGCCGAGTTATGGCGTTTTAATGTTTGTTTTATACGCAGCTTTATAGCAACGACATTGGTGGATATTGTTCTGGTCTTAATTCTAAAATGGAGGCTTCTACCTGCAAATAGAGCAACTTCACCGATCTGGCACCAGGAAAGAAAAAAAAAACCCAGAAAACAAACAAAAACTGAACTATAACTATAGTTATCATATTTCCCTGTTTCTTTTTTGTTCCGCTTGTCTTCTAATATGCCCGGCGATTGTGAAATACACTTAGCCTTTTTCTTTATTGTTTGCCTCGGAAATTTCCGAAACCTCGTTTTCTGAGTCAAAGCAAACTTTTTGTTTTTATTTCTCTTATAACTTCCTTGTTCATTTGTTCCGTTCATCATCCGTCTTAGTATCCTTCTGTAGAAACACTTCTCAAATGTTTCGTTTCCACTTCATATGCGAGGAAATTATCCAGCACA